ACCATAAAAATTATAGACCCTTAATTTTTTTGTAAGTGGTCAAACTTACAAAATCAGCAGGGGATCAAATAATTATTTTCCCCACTGTATATATATATATATATATATATATAACTTCTTTTTTGAAGAAGAAGAAGAGTAAATGAACATTCTTAATACAAACTAAAGCAACTGTTTAAAAATAAGAAAAAAGGTACTGCAACCTCCATCCACATCCACTCCCTAGAAACCATCTCATTGATGCAGCTGTCACAGTTGTATAAAGTCTTAATGCAGTTTTTACTGCATTTAATATCTAATATATAACAACTGGGACAATTAGGATAATCAAAAAAGCTGAAAATCTATTTGTGCAACAGTGCAATGCAAACCAATCATTGTTAGTGCATCATGCAGGTTTGGATGACTGTAATCTGTGAAGTGTTGTGCTCGTCTGCTGTGCCGTTCTGAATTAATGAGGTGGAGTGCTGTAGAGACATGTTTAAAGTTTAACTGATCCCTCTGATCCTCACCTCCCCGAATCATCTCCTGTCGCTCTCTACTGTGAGCCTGGAGAAAATCCCGGTCCCTACAGCCCTACCTCTCTCTCTATCTGTCACTTCCTCTTTCTTTTACTTTATCTATCATCTATATCTGTCTGTATCTGTCTATGTATCAAGTAACACTGACCTCTAGGTTCAAGTGTATTCAAAACAGAAGTCAATACTGATGAAAGTGTGCTCTGTTCAATGCTTTATCCTCCTGAAATGTTTTTGTAAGATGCTGTGTGTGAGTGTGTGTGTGTGTGTGTGTGAGTGTTTGTTAGACCCGTGTGCTTATGTTTGTTTTGCATGCTCTTGTTTGACCCACCCTGGATGTGCTTTTCCACTCGAAGAGTGGTTGAGGGAAAGCTCATAAAACCTTTACAGTGCAGGGACGGCAAACTGCCTCCATGTTGTACGAATCAAACTCCACGACAACCGTGTGTGGTGTAATTAAATCAGACAGCAGGTTATTATTATGTTTAACATATCTAAATGTCAACAAGATCACATCATGCCACGAGCAGCTTAATTGCTTTGAAATGAGCGTGGATTGTGACCTGCTGGAATCAAACATATTATTCATTATCTCTCTTTCTCTCTCTCATTCTTGTTCAGATACAGTAATGGAGCAGCTATTATTTCTTATAATTTTCTACTTGCTTCCTACTCTCATCTCGTCCATACATAATTCAACGACCGGAGGTAATGTGTGTGTGTGTGTGGATGGTTTCTGCTCCGTGCATGTTGAATTTAACACCACAGAATGTCTAAAGTGGCCCACCTCTGTTGCTTTGTGAGATTAAAGGGTGTTCTGTTTAGATTCTGTAAACTGAGTTTCATGGATTTCAAAGAGCTATCTGCCCTCAGTCCTCATGGGATCATGTTCAGCCGGAACTATAGAAAGAAAAAAATGGATTGCCATGTCAGTTCTCCCTTTTCATTGTGAAAGCAATATATAGCCTACACAATCTTAATGAATCAAAGCAATTCAATGTCTTATACAGTTCAGTTCGCAAGTTTACATGCCCCTTGCAAGATGTGAAAATGTTTATATATATAATATGTGAGAACTATTTGACATAAAATGTGATCATAATGTATTTGTTTCCCTAATATGAATCATTTTTAACCCTATGTGACTCTTGTTTTTTTTTTGTGCATCATCAGATGACAGTAATTATACAGGTAAGACGTAAAATAATCTAATATGGTTATTTCATTTCTTATGTCAGAGGTCACATTTCCCAAGACTGTGTCCTAGGTCACGTCTCATGTAATTTCAAGTTTTTATAAATGTGCTAAAAGGATGTGAGATGTGCTAAACGTGTTGCTAAAATTCTCAGTATTGGTTTGCTCGCGTTCCTGGATGTCTCTGGAGAACGGGAGGGTGGCGCTGCAGCCCCCTGGACAACCAGTAGAGGGCACAGTTCTTCACTACAGCTGTCATGCTGGCTTCCTATTGGAGGGTTTCAGTATCTCACACTGTACCAAGCTGGGCAAATGGGACTCTCCTAAACCACTCTGTGTCTGTGAGTATGTTTATGATTTAACGGTCGATCACACAAACACAATGTATTTGTTTCCCTAATATGAATCATTTTTAACCCTATGTGACTCTTGTTTTTTTTTTGTGCATCATCAGATGACAGTAATTATACAGGTAAGACGTAAAATTATCTAATATGGTTATTTCATTTCTTATGTCAGAGGTCACATTTCCCAAGACTGTGTCCTAGGTCACATCTCATTTCAGAGATCACATTTACAAAGAATTTCCCTAAATGCTGTTATTTTACAGCTCATATCTGTTTATCACTTGACAGTTCACTAAAAACAAATAGCAGAGTGTAACATGTGACCCTGGACCACAAAACCAGTCATAAGGGTCAATTTTTTTGAAATTGAGATTTATACATCTGAAAGATGAATAAATAAGCTTTCCATTGATGTATGGTTTGTTAGGATAGAACAATATTTGGCCGAGATACAACTATTTGAAAATCTGGAATCTGAGGGTGCGAAAAATCTAAATCACCTTTAAAGTTGTCCAAATGAAGTTCTTAGCAATGCATATTACTAATCAAAACTGAAGTTTTTATATATTTACGGTAGGAAATTTGCTAAATATCTTCATGGAACATGATCTTTACTTAATATCCTAATGATTTTTGGCATAAAAGAAAAATCGATAATTTTGACCCATACAATGTTTTTTTGGCTATTGCTACAAATATACCCCAGCGACTTAAGACTGGTTTTGTGTTCCAGGGTCACAAATGAGAATGTAAAAATGTTAATAAGCTATTTTTTAATATATATATTTATATATTCAAATTGTAGACCACAGTTCGGTCGGTTGAAAATCTAAATTGTAATGCTTAGTTCAACCACAAGGGGGCTGTATTTTACCATCAGTCGTTCGAAAACTGCTCCCTCAATTAATCAAATTATTTATATTATTTTAGTGCTGTGTCTCTCCCTCAGTTAAAATGTATATGGAAGTGTGTGTGTATATAGATATATATATTATACATTATCATGTTCATAAATTCATTTAGTTTTACCATCCAGACCATTTCTGTTCCTCAGACTATTAAACTTAGAGAAGTAGCTCCGGTTGGAATGTTCTTCCGCGGGATGTGTGCAGTTCTGTTTATTAACCGCTAGAGCGCCAAAAGTTACATAGTGCTGCTTTAAATAATTTATTTGCGAACTCTTGTGTTACGCGGTGGACACACTTTATGATCCTATTTATTTATTTGATCAACAACTAGATTTTCAGTTACAGTTTTTCTCAATTGCTTCTTGAATCATTCCTTAAATTTGCAAACCAGTATGAGCATTTCTCGAAATAATTTGTACAAACAGCACCACACAATGGATTACTTGCAAAAGCCTGTAACTTGCTCAAAATCCTTAGTTCATCTCTCCAAAGAAAGTATTTATGCCAATGACCATGTCCTGACAAGTGAACAAGTTCTTTTATACAAATATAGACTGTATATATGTGTACTTATGTGTGTGTGTGTATTTGTATAAAGTATATTTACAGTATAATGTGAAATGCAAGTGGACTAATATGAAGCATTACAGTAAGTATACAGTATTACAGTACATTGCACATTGTTTGATTACATTACATACCTCTACTGTCTACAAAATTTGAATGATTAAGGACACGGTTGTTCTCCCAATATTCGGCTGCATCTTTCAACCTGCCTCAGCAATTGTGAGATCATAATTGAGAACAAGACTATTTAACAGAGAACCAGTATAATATAGTTTGATCAACATGATATAAGCAACTGATATGGGAAAGAGCAGACAATTGTACATACTCAATTGCATGAATGTACAAAAGCATTCACAATTTGTTCAAAAGAATGAGAAACTGCTATTATGATGTGCCTAGATGAGGTAGAGGTTGAACAAGTAGTTTTGAGAATTTCAATTATGTTCTGAGAAAGTACCAAGGTGACTGAGTGAGAAAAACTGTAAAATGTATATGAATCTGCATGACAGTGATCCTGTGAGTTTTCACCGTTTTTCTCACCAAATTTATACCTTCATCAGGTTTCTTTTGAATTGGTCATAAAGTGTGGCAAATATGTTTTAAGATCTCATTGAGGGCCATTCTCATTCTTGAAACCATTTGATTGGTCAGAAATCTTGGTAGTGCAGGATGAGTCATCAATAATTTTTTTCTCTTTTCCCAGAAGTGAAAACTTTTGTAAATTTTTATATGTATATATAATGTTTAGTACACTAACATATACAGTAGATGACTTCAAGGCTAACACATTTGGTCTAAAAGCTACAAAACTCTAATTTTGATGTCACAGGGTTTTGAAAAGTACAAATATTCCATGTATATATGACAAACATTCCATTTATATGATGTCATGTAAGCTTCATGCATAATGATAATAAAGAATGAGCAAAATGCTGTTTAAAATGATTTTAGATACAGTATAGAATAAAGGACATCAAATTCATGTCAACTTCCCCACTATACAATCTCATTATAATTTTTCAGGCTGCCAGAGTCTCTCAGCATTAACACAAGCGCTTCTGCAAGCACAACTGTAGCACCCTCTCATTCATCCGTCCCTCCCTCTTATTGCCTTCCATTCCTCTCAATCCCTCTGTGCTTTCTTTCATTTCCCCTCGTTTCTTTCAGCTCTGCTGATTTAGACTATCAAGCCTCACGAATGCCCTCTCTCTCTCGACTCCCTCTGTTAACTCGCAGCGAGAGATCGCCGCCTACTTAGTGCACTCTCAGCAGGCTGAAGATTAACACTCGGCCAGTGTTTAGCTCTGTGTGTATTTCTGCTCTGTGTGTATATGAATGTATATGAGGTTATGTGTGTATCTTCGCACAGTGTGTGTTTAGGTGTGTGTCTGCGTAAATTCGAGCCTGTGTGTACGGGGTGGCGATTACATCGCTTTTACTGTGGTTGTTAAATGATAATTCAGCATAAAGGTGACCTTTTATTTGCCAGCCCTTTATAAACCCCTCTATAGGATGTTGTTGCTTTATGAACAAGAACTGACCTTGTACATAAAATCACATTCTGTTTTGTAAACATATTTACATATCACATAAACTAATGGGTAATTATATATCCTCACAGGAGGCTCCACCGGCCTTTCTTTTATTAAATAACAACTAAAGATCAGGGATGAATAATTAATGACTGGCATATGGAGAGAGCTGATTCAAAGGGAGCTCCAAATGTCACTGGAGCATCTCAGGTCCTGAGGTTCACGGTAGCTCAAGTAATCAACTTCAACGAGAGTATGTTTGGAAGGTTGATTCCACCCCCCACCCCCCCCCCCCCCACAATCACAACAGACTTGGCCAGCTGACCAATCAGAGTAGAGTAGGCTTATGTAAGGGAGGGGATTACAGACCTTAACGTCCGCATGAAATTTAAATTTACAAAATTAATTTTGTTAGTGCCCATTGGTAGTCTTGAGGTGAACGATGTACCCGTGCAAGTTAATCCACTGAAAAAAATAGTTTGTATTGGTAATCTTTAATCAAAATTTGAACATTTTCTTCATCTGGAATGGCATTCCTGCTCTGATGACATCAGTTTGACGGCTTGGGCAGAATATGCTTAACCACGCCTCTCCAACCGTTAGTTTGCTGCGAGGGAGAGTTGAGAGCAGGAGCGCAAAAATAAAACCCCGCCCTCTCTTCAATATTCCGTTTCAGTTGGAAATACCTCACGATACTAAAACAGAGATTATCTTACTATAGGGAGATGAGAGGGTCTGTATTACTTACTATTGGAGAAAGCATAACGGCTAATTTGGATCACATGTCCCTTAATAACCAATTACATTACAGCCTTGACGTCATTGAAATTCAGTCAGAGCTGTGCGCAGAACGAACGGTACGACATCAAAGTACTGCGAGAGCCATAATAGAGCAGACGACTGGTTGTGGCTAGAAGGGATACAGCAAAAACCGGAAGCTAACAATAAATTGAATTTTCTACCTATTAGATTGTTTTATTAACGTCTACACCTACCCCAACCCTAAACCTACCCCTTACAATAATGTAAAAATAGTAATTATTGTTGTACAGTGTGAGAAAAATTTGGATATATTGATGTGCGCATGCCCAGTAGTTTTTGCTGTATGCCATCTAGCCTTAACCCAGGCGACTCTTTAAACTTTTTTTGAAGCGCTCTCGCAGTACTTTGATGTCATGAGCCGATCGATGCATCTCAAACAAGCCTATTGTCTGCAGCAGCTTCTGTTTCACGCGGACTTTAAAGTGCCCCTATTATGCCTTTTCGAATATTACCTTTCATGCAGTGTGTCATGTAGTTGTATGTGAACATAAACTATCTGCAAAGTTGTGAAGCCGACAGTGCACAATAAATAAAGTTATTGTCTATCAAAAAAAAAAAGAGTCGGCTTGCAATCGCCTAAACGAGTCGTCAGGAATTCGAATCTTAAGCCCAGTTCACACCAAGAACAATAGCTATAAAGATAACGATATTAGCATCCACACCAGCAAACTATATCGTCTGTTTATCCCAAGCACACATACATCTGCCGCTTTAAATTCTCGAGCTCGTTATAGCAGGATGGATTCTGATTGGCTGTCAATGTTTGTATCGTTCATCAGCTGGAAAAAATCTTTCTGGAAGTGATTCCAAGGATATCGTTTCTCTGTGCCTTTATCGTTATAGTTGTGGTGTGGACTCTGCTATTCTTTAATATTGAGAACGATTTTTAGAACTATATCTTTATCGTTATCTTTATAGTTATCGTGCTTGGTGTGAAGGGGCCTTTATTCTGTTACGGCTCTACGTCACGAAGTAACACATTTGCATGATGTCTGCCCACGTTCTACGTCGCCAACTTGCCTGCCCACTAACAGTAACATTTCTGTGTGGTTAACATCATGTCGAGAAGACGCTGTATCCTACGCTGTGAGAGTACCAGTCGTGCTTGCGAATCAGTCTCTTGTCGATCAGCCAGTTCAACCGTTTCATCATCAGACTCCGGCTCGAATTGGTAAGGTACAATCGATACCATCTTTTCTATGTATTGACAAGTCTCCAGGTCTGTCATTCCGTCATGACAATGGGCGTTTCGTTACCGACACGTGCTGTACGCTGTAGCTGAATGTCCTTGCATGGCCTAGTCAGAGCTCAGACTTAAACCCCACTGAAAATCTTTGGAATGACTTGAAGACTGCAGTCTACATACGGTCACTATCAAATTTAACTAAACTTAAGCAGTTCTGCAAAGAAGAGTGGGCAAACATTGCAAAGTCTAGATGTGTGAAGTTAGTAGAGACAAATCCCAACACAAGGGGGTGATCCTTTTTGCAACTCTGGTTCTGTTTTTTTATTTATTTATTCTGACATATTGGTGTTATATCTTTCACTTGGATGTTATAAGTTGCACTGAGTAAATAGCTGGATAAAACAAAAACTGTTTGTCTTCATTTCAGGCAGCAAAGCAACAAAATGTGATTATTTTAAAGGGCGGTGATTCTTTTCTATTTCCACTGTATAAGGCTTGTAGAGACTTGATTGTCAGAGGGTTTAGATTTTTTTTGTATGTGTTTGTTTTCTATGTTTTCAATAGAATTCTAAAGCCTAATAGCCAATAGCCTCAGCTATTGATTGATGGATGGACAGACTGACAGAAATATATATATATATATAGAGAGAGAGAGAGAGAGAGAGATAGCGAGAGAGATTGAATTACCTTTAGAGAGAGATTAATCACCTTTATCACCTCTATTTATCACCTTATAGATAGATAGATAGTCCTTATTACGTTTATTTTTCTATCTGAGTTTAGCTCTATCATGCATTAATCAACTGTGTGACTTCTGAAAATGATTCTGATTCAGTGAAAATGATTTTGATTCAGAAGAGAGTTTACTTTAACCCCGCCCCCATCCAGCTATACAACAGTACTACTGTTCGTCTGTCAGCGGATCAGTTCTCTGCTGTCTGCCCTGTGTACGGATCTCAGTGTACGGCGTTTGGTGGTCAATCTCTCCCCCTCTCCTCCCGGCGGATTAAAGGATTATGCCGCAGCACAATTGTTATTTTCCAGTATTCTGATCAGATGCGGGAATAATATGCTCGACAGTTTAAAACTTAATCACGTTTCGTGAGCGGCGCGGTAAATAAAGCAACACCAGAGGATCAGCGAAGCGCGTTCTGACCGACAATGTCGCGCAACATCACCTGTTTTTCTCTCCTGTCGTGAACCACGAGCATAGCTGCACTACAAACACACCGTCTGTGACTGTGAAAGGGAAAGAGACAATAATTGCCGATGGCGCATTTGTTTTTACCCATCATTCAAAGCGTGATTTCTGTAGATTTGTGCTTTTACATGTTTGGACAGTTGGGTTCTGTTGAAGCGCTCTCTGTGACAGGACATTAGTGATTTGGTGTCGGAGTCAAACTGCGGAGAAGAATCTAAAAGATTCCAAAGAATCTTAAAGACACTAAATAAACAGAAGATTCTAAAGATTCTGAGATTCTAAAACATTCTGAAGATTCTAAATATTATAAAATATTCTGAAGATTTCGATGAGTGTTAAAGATTCTGTGTATTTCAAAGATTGTAAAGATTCTAAAAAGTATTTCAGAAGATTCATAAGATTCTAAAAGATTCATAACAAAAGATTCTATCAGATTCCAAAAGGTTCTGAAGACTCTAAAAGATTCTGAAGGCTCTGCAAATTGTAAAAGTTTAAACAGAAGATTCGGACCTATTCTAAACGCTCTCAGGACTAAATAAGTTACAAGAAAGCGCGCAAGATCAGATGTCTTAACGCAATAACTGTGTTACGACGCGAAGAGCTCGTAGCCATGGCTGACTGACATCAGATATGAAATTGTAACTGCTGTATTGTAACATATAAGTCCCAACGAGCATCTGTCTGTAATTTCATATTGCGCTTAAAGTGTTCAGCACTGCTGTTTTTACGCGTTCCGTGCACGGTTCTGTTACTTTAAACTGGACTCCTCGCACGTGCGGACACTTTCAGCTTCGGACACAACCGCATAATTTAAGATAAAAGCGTATAAATATTAAATTGGATATTGATGGCATCCACGGAGAGGGTCAGGACCTTGGGGAGAGTTTGGCGAAGCTTAGCTCTCTTTTACGCACTGCTTATCTTTCTCTCCTGGCCGTGTGCGGTTGCAGGCAAGAAGAAACTGTACATCGGAGCTCTGTTTCCCATGAGTGGAGGATGGCCCGGTGGTCAAGCGTGTCTCCCCGCAGCCCAGATGGCTTTAGATCTCGTGAACAACCGGACCGACATTCTGCCAGACTACGAGCTGGAGCTCATTCATTACGACAGTATGGTAGGCACTTAACATTTTACATTTACAGTGTCCATAATACATTAAGGTTTATATATATTTAAATAATATAAATATTAAGTACTTGTTGTTTTGCTCAGCATTTAATCATATAATTGCGTTCAAAATTGCAGTTGACATAATACTTCATCTGCATCAGTGATTAAGTTTCTCAGTGTGAAATGATCAGAACAGCTCCCACAAATGTGCAAAATGAATCCAAAATTAAAGCAAAAACAAACTGGCCCAGCACCAGTGTTATTTTAGTATAATTTAGGTATTATTATAGTTTTTATTATTTTGAAACAGTTTTTATTTTTTACATTTACTGTTTTCATTTTAAGTGTAGTTAAAGTTTTAGTAATTTTGTTGTGTTTTGTCATATGTAGTTGTTTTTGTTTTTTATGTCTATATAGTTTTAATTTTTAGTTACGTTTTATTTTGAATTATTTTGGTACTTCAAGTTAAACTAAATTAAAATGAGAAATGTTTCCTTGGCGACTAGTTAAAAAAAAAAAATTAAATTTAAGTTAGCGTTTATTTCAAGATATTTCAAAGATATTTTTATGGTTTTATTTTCAGTTGTAGTTAATAACCCTGCCAGCACATGCTTTTGTAGTGTTTTTAATTTTGCATGATATTAGCACATATGCAAACTTAATTATGCAATAGCATACGAAGTAAGTTACTGAATACTTGATGAAATGTTCTAATGTATCTCATGGCATTGTTACTGCAGATAAATTCCTTATTCTGTATGCGTTTAGTCTCCTAATCCCACTGTCATCTTAACTAGTTTAATTGCATTACGTCATCAGCAATAGTGTTTTTCAACCATGTAGGAATGAATGTTATACTTTTTAGGGGCTTTTGCTAAGAAAGAAGAAATGTCATTGCCCTCTTTACCTTCTGTTAATTTATTCAAGTATTTCACGTTCAAGGACTGAAACAACCAGATGTTAATTTAAGATGGTAGAAATTATCAGCGTTTTGCAGGTGCTTCACTGTTGTGGCAGTGATTGTATCTTGAGATTCAGGAGTTGGTGTCAAGTTGACATTGCAGTTGTTGGTACATTAATATTTCACAACTCACTGCACTTGGCTGTTATCAACAGCCTGTGAGGCTTCAGCTGCATAAAGTAATTTGGCTTACCAAAAATACTCATGCACCATAAATGCTTATGCTTTCCTTTAGCATTGCCGAGTTTTCCAAGACCACCTCCAAAGTGGATTCCTCAGTGTATTTTGTTTATTTATTTTTAAAAAGGATTTTTTTTTTGTGTAATATGCATAAGTGGAGAGAGAATTTTTCTGCCTTTTGTGGAAAGGTGATTGTCCTGAGTTTCAGTTCTGTCAGCAGCCACAAATAACAGTGCTGTCAAACCATTAAACCATTTATATCCTCAAATATGTCAGTGCTGGTTTGATATCTAAAACGTATGATAGTAAATATGTGAGATCTCTCTTACTGCCAATGAATACGCACTTTCAGAAGTTCAAAGCGGGGCCGTTTAGTTTCCCAGTGTGGTGTGACTATGCTGAGCTCCTGTAGGTGAGGAAACAGTTAAAGAGTGCTTTAAGTGGACAGAGATTAGTTGTATCATGGTTCTGATTGGTGAACCGCACTCTGCATTGCAATCGCACTCAATATAGAGGAAGAATCAGGGAGAGGAGGGTTGGCATGGCAACAGCCACCAGTGAAACCACAGTTCAAACAAACTTGCATCCCTGTAGATCTTGTAAGGATAAGGAGGTCCTTCTGCAGACTCCTGTGTATCTGCAGCACCTGTCTGACCACTCACTATTGAGTGTTGTTGAATGGTAACAATAATCTGTAATGTGTGAAGATAATCATTGTAGACCCAGTTAGTTCGTTAAACCTCCTGTTGGCTTAAGAAACTGCATCTGCACCTGTGATTCTTGAGTTGAATTTGACCCACATTGAAAAGCATTTATAAATCTTTGGTACTAATATTTAGGATACAATGGGTGTATTAGGGATATTTCTTCTGATCCCAAAATGTGTTGTTAAAAAAATAAATATTTGAGTTATACAATTTGTGTGGAAAAGAGAAAACTACATCTAAAGGGCCTTTATTGTTGGGTCAAATTTGAAAGTCCATAACTGTTTATTGAAATATGGGTTCAAATTTGAAAGATAGAGCCCTTTTAAAAATGGGCTCTATCTAAAATTAAATTATTTTTTTTAATTACACATGATTATTGTATTAAAAGTATTTTCTTTACAAAAAAATCAATTTGTGTTTTTTTTTTAGTCTTGCATGACAATTTGCCAATGCACTTGGATTAGAGATCATATTAGCACATGAATACTTAATTATGCAAAGAGCGTACAAAGTAAGTTACTGAATATACTTGCTGAAATATTTTAGTGTATTTCATGCCATAATTAGATAAATTCCTTATTCTATATATCTTTTAATCTCCTAATGAGATGTGATCCCAAAATGCGTTATGCTAAAAAAATGATATTGATCGAGTTACACAATTTGTGTGGAAACGAGAAAATTACATATAAAGGGCCTTTGTAAATATAAAATATTTTGGGGTCAAATATGGGGTAAAATTTGAAAGATGGAAAAATACAATAAATACAAAAATTAAACTGAAATTTTATGAAACTTTAATTTTTAAATGACGTACGTAATTATTGTAGTATGTATTATGTAAAAAATAAAAATAAAAAATAGGACGAAAGGGTTTAATTGTTCTTTTCCTTTTTACATACTTCAAAATAATAGCCAAGTTTGGTTATCAGGGTACGTTTAATCATTTACCTGATACTTCCATCCAAAGTGACTTTCAAATGACAAGAAGCACAAGCAATTTATCATACAAAAGCGAGTAATATTAACAGAAGTGCAATAATCTTGATTTAATTCACCTTAATTCATGATTTAATGAAAATGCTATGTACAATTCCAGTTGTCATTACCTGCTCTCTAGAAATGTCGCCATTCCACCCATGTCTCAAGTCTCTTTTAATTTAGCATTAATCTTAATAAAAATCTAAGGCTTATTGCAGGTGCACAAGTAGAAGAATGCAATATCAGAAGGGCCAAGTGTGACATTGTATAAATGTCATGTGTTAGTATGCCGTGGAGATGGAAGAGCAGGTGTGAAGTGCGCAGACTCGTTGACATTTAAGCCGACAGATATTTTGAGCTTTTCCTCTTGATTGGGGAGCACTTCATACCTGGATGAGATTCTTATCAAAATTGCTTTCGGGTGTCAGAAATGTAATTACAAAGGGAGAAAATCAAATTTGATGTGGGTTTTGCATTTAATTGTTGTTCAAAGAATCTCAGGCAAGTTTGGGGCATTCTTTTAATCTTTCTCAAATAGCCAATTATCACGCAGAGCAATGCTTGCATAGAAACATGTAAGTTACCTCAAAATTCCAATTTCATTTGACATTTGATAAATATTTATTTCATAAATGAGTGTTATTATAGCCCCTGCCTTGGAGTGTTATTATAACCCCTCCTAAGGATTTTCATTTTTTCCTTCCTTTATGATGTCAAATTTAAAATGACACTTTGGACATTTGTTTTATAGTAAACCAAGACTAAATAGATTTTTACTTTTTATGAAGAAAATGCGAGGGCTGCTTGTCCATGCAAATCTTGCTGACATGATGCTGCGGTATTTGGTGGTCGCTAGGGTGTTGTGACTGGTTGCTAGGGTCAAAATAACCCACCGCTAAGTTTCTGTGATATTCTAAATATGGCTCGGGTTCTTTCTTTAGTGTAAGCCTATGGGATTTTCCACCCCCCACATTTTATCATCTGCCAGGCAAAAATTTTAATATCAAAGCTCTATTTGATAAGCCGTATGATTTGAGGCATCATTTACTGTATATACAAACAGCATGGAATTACACAACAAATTTAATATTTAGCTTGTTTAAAATATGAGAAGAGCATTAACATATACCGGTAATAATTACTGTTGTCACTAATCAAAATACCTGTAAGTTTTATTTTATCAGTCAGATACATAATGGAAATTATTAGCAACAAAGAAGGAATGGGATCAGACCACATTAAATTTGAACCGAGAAAAGAAGCAGGATACAGAATTGAAATTAGATTTTTGAATCTAAGGAAGTAGAATTATTATTATTATATATTAAAATATATTTAAAATATATATTGTAATATATAATTTAAAAAAAATAAAATTTATATTAAATTCAATTAGCTGATCGTCTTTTGACTCACTTATATAGGACTGAAGTGCAATTTTATATGTAATTTCATAATTCTACTGTATTTGAAATATGGTTAAAGTGTATTGCTGAATATACTGACAAGCATTTATGGTAAACTAAATAATACAGCATTAGCATGTACATCTATGTTAGAATGATACAAAATTGCACATTTCATAATAAAAATGAATAAAAACACATCTGACTTTTGGTTCATGCTATGATAGTGGTCAAAAATGGAAATCTCTAAGATACGGTCATAGGCGTTGATGCCAGAAGTTGTGGTCCATCTTGTGTGTGTGTGTGTTTTAGAGCAGATATTTACAGGAACCCCCTTGCACAGATACACTATCCCTCTCCAGATGGTTGCCATGGTTATATCAAAGCTCAGCCTGCAAACTTTGATCAATTATTAACCGTGATAGAGCGAGACCAAGGTAGAGAGAGAGAGCGATGCCCTGATGAGACACTTGTGCTTTACCTGTTTTAATTGGCATCTGTTGTATCCAGATTGTAACGAGAAGGATTTTCATACCCATTGCATGCTTTATTCATTCTCATCTGGGTTCAGGGATGCAGAATCGCAGCTTAGAAATAACAAACCAACACTTGCAAGTTAATGTGAGGTAGAACAGCAGATAAAGACTCATTCATGGTCTGAGTCATGGGAAGACGTGTTTTGATTCATTGGGATGAGACATTTAGCATTTGAATCTGTATAGTAAACAATGTCGAAGCTACATATCTGGCTAGCAGCTTGAGCTGTATGTGACAGTGTCTTTATTTGACGCACTGTGCTTGTATTCTCCAAATATCCTTCTATGACTCAAAAGTCAAAGGACTTTATCAGATAAGTATAAGTAGTGGAAATTATTTGTGGGAAATAAGGAATGGGATCAGGCCACATTAAATTTGAACTGAAAAAAAACAAAAACAGGATGCAGAATTGCAATTCGAATTTAAATCTATGGAAGTAGAATTAAAATGAATTGGAATTTTATATGTAATTATCAACTGTAGTTTTTATCTAGAATAGCAAAGTTTGTCAATTTGAAATGGCTTGACAATGCCTTGTTTGATTGTATAAAAAATTTCGATACACTTTAGCGGAGTACTTAATATGCAAATAATATACTTTCAAAGAAATATATTTAATAATATATAACTGAATGTAATGTTTTCAGGCATTCAATTCCAGGGTAATTGCAATTAAATAAAAAAGTATAGTTTTAATTCATATTAGATACAATTAGTGTAACTTCTTTTGACCCACTTAAGTTGGACTTAAGTACATTTAAGTACGCTTAAGTACTTTATATGTAATTTCATAATTCTGTTATATTTGAAATATGGTTAAAGTTTATTGCAGAATGTACTAACAAGCATTTATAATAAACTAAAATATATATAAATGTAATTTCCATTGGAACTTGTATGTCATATATAAATATATTTGTAATTGCACATTTGTAGTGATGACGTTGCAGTTTAGTACATTTAAAATATATTAACTATAATATCGGATAACACTCCAAGGTTAAAATTACAGTACTTTACATGTTATACAGTACTTTACATCAAAATAAGTGTACTACTTTAAAGTACAACAAAGATTATTATAACATAACATTTTAAAATGTACTACAAAGGGATAGTTCACCCAAAAATGAAGATTCTGTCATCATTCGCTGACCCGCCACTTGTTCCAAAGTGTTTCTTTCTTCTGTTGGACACAAAAGAAGATATTTTGGAGAATGTTGGTAACCAAACAGTTGACTGTAGACATTGACTTCCATAGTATGAAGAAATATATATTAATATGGAAGTACATGGCTACCATCAATGCAAACTTCAGTGAGTTAAGAAACATAGCAATAATAAACTCTCAAGTACATGTCAGTGGCCTTTGATTTCATTAATATTATATTATCTGCAAGTACAGTTAATTATACTTTTAAGAGTTGAAGTTCACTACAAGTGCACATTCAATACAGTTAAGTGCATTTTATTTTCACAGAGTAGATAGAGAATAGATACAGTAGTTTCCTGTGAGGCATAGCCAAATCAATTCAAATTCTAAAACTTGTTAACTGAAACAGTCCCAGTTCTTTAAAGGTGGGGTAAGCGATTTGTGGTAGCCAATGTTGACATTTGAAATCACCAAAACAAACACGCCCCTACCCCAAAAGGGTCTCGCCCCTATTTTAATAGCTCCGCCCCACACATACGTACGCAACCCAGGCAACGATTACTTCTGTGAAACAAAGCAAAACCAATGTTACACCGTGTCTACACCGGACGCGAGTGGCGCGGCGCGACAAAATACTATAGAACTCATTATAATCAGTGATGCTGTCTACACCATAGATATATATACATATCTATGGTCTACACTGGATGCGGCACGGCACGACATGACAAATCCCTGACAGAAAACTGCTGCTGCGTTCTATTCATGACGTATTGACACAAATTTCAAATGATTTTCAACGGTCGCTTTGTCGACACGGTGTTACTCGCCTATCGAGAAGAAACAAAGCAACCTCGGTGTCCGATCGCAGGCCTTCCACTCCTTGAGTTCTCTCCAGCACTGGAAAGCTGATCCGATATTTACACGGGTCCTACTTCTTGCCTTAAGCCTTCTTTTGTCCCGCAGACGTTTTCCTCTTATGTTTTTTTTATCCGCCATCTCTATCTTTCTGTCGCTCGAATTTAGCTGTTGCGGCGCAGACACGATGTTACTCACCTATCGAGAAGAAATCTGATATTTACACGGGTCCTACTTCTTGCCTTAAGCCTTCTTTTGTCACGCAGACATTTTCCTCTTATGTTTTTTTTATCCGCCATCTCTATCTTTCTGTCGCTCGACCCGCTAATGTCCATCCTGTGCACTGAACGCTCTCTCCTCCACATCATGAGTAGACACGCCCCTTACTGCTGATTGGCTACAAGTTTGTTTTGCTAGTCAGCCCCAATCAGTTTTCTAAAGCGTTTTTGAAAAATCGCTTACCCCACCTTTAAGTCTGAAGTTTTAGCCCATCCGTGTACCGTTATGTTGGACCCAACAAAAACAAAATTGTCCTTGTGTCCAACAGCAGTGAGAGAAGGAGCATTTTCTTTTTTTTTAGCCGGCGCTCAGTATTCTGGTCCAGAGACCTGCATAACCTTCACACCCGGGAACTTTTAACAGCACAGATGCCTCCGTCACGTCAAGCGTCTTCAGTTCCTTTCAATGGCTGCTTTTCCAAAAGCCGTGTGCTGAATGAAAATGCCTCAGCTCCCTGGAGACGCCATGAGAGACTGGAGCAAGGAAACCACACGTGTCTCTTTGAGAGATTTACTAGACTGATTCGATGAGTGATGTCTGGCAAAAATATTATTATTAGCTATTCTGGTACTAAAACAGATCCAAAGTGGGTGCTTTCTGACTGTCATCGTTTTTGAGACCAGCACTGTGTCATTTAATTCTAACTTTAACAAAAATAAAAGCATGCATGTCTCTCCTAATTAAGTGTTTCTGCTGATCGTTACCAAGGGCACCATTTTAGTGTGACTGCATCTGTGGCGTGCGAGCAGTCACCCCCTCATTTGTGAATCACATCCTGTTGTATTTGTCACATTGAACTGTAGCACGAGAGGTCTTTGGTTACAGCTTCATTGCAGTATTTTTTTTTCCTGGGCCATGAGATACTGTGCTTCTGTGCTGATTCCGTTGATACTTTATTGATTATGACATGCTCAGGTGAAGCGTTTACATCCTGCGAGCTTCAGTTAACTTTTTCAAAGGTGGTAGACTAATGGTAGTCTTAATGTTCTTTTTCTCTTTTCTTCAGTGTGATCCAGGAGAGGCCACTAAACTGCTGTATGACTTGCTGTACACAGAGCCCATAAAGATCGTGTTGATGCCGGGCTGCAGCTCCGTGTCTACGCTGGTGGCCGAGGCAGCACGCATGTGGAACCTTATAGTGGTGTGTCTGCTATGTATACATTTCTGTCTGAACTCATTATATCTGGATCGTTGATCGTTGGTTTCTCCATTCACCTGGATTTGACTGTAGAACATTATAGAGTTTCGTATTGGGAAGTTGGTTTGTTGTCATTCCTATGGAAGCTTATTTCTGCCATGGAATTAAAACATAAAGAACTGCGACTTTTTATCTCACAATTTTGACTTTTTTTCCCCCCTGATTCGGAAGATACAAAGTAAGAAGATATAAATCTGCAATTCTGAGAAAAACTTTGTGTAGTTGACACTTGAAGAAGCTGACAAATCAAATTAAATATGTCAAAAGAGGCTCTCAAGGAAGTGCGAGAACCGAATGAGAAAGTGTGAAAGTGAAAAAGGAATAAAATACACAAGATACCCATAGCAATTTGACATAATAATTAATTTTTCCAATTATTCTCTTTTGGTATCCGCCGAGGTTAGCAGGAATTTGGAAAGTAATGTTCTCAACACTGACTTTGTTCTCATCAAACGAGTTTACTTGTGTGAAAAAAGTTTGCATGTAATTTACAAAAAGTTGGACAAAGTGAGTTTATGAAACTCTCCAGGGAAACCTATAAGACTTCAGTTACTTTTTTGACAGATGGGTTTGTACTCTAGTAGATTATGACAGAGATGCTCATGAAAAGTGAATAACTGTTTATACGTGACAGTGTAGGCAAATCAACCCTTGTGAAAAAGAATTACATTTTAGCATACTTTTAAAAAGAGTTCTTGTTACAGAAATAGTATACTTTAAAAGAATATACTTAAGTGCAAACTAAATGTAATGTTTTCTGTCACTTTAATGCAAGTTAATTGCAATTAAACGAAAATATATTAGTTAAAATTTTATTAAATGGAATTTTCTGAACTTTAGAGTGCATTTTTGATCTTTATAGAGTATGTAATATACAGCATTTATGTAATTTCTATTGAAAGTTGATATATATATATATATATATATATATATATATATGTATATAAATAACACAAGTGTTACTTTAATGTGTAAAGTTGCAATTTAGTACATTTAAAATATATTAAATGTAATATAGCATAACACACAACAGTTAAAATTATCAAATACCTCTATAGTGTGTTAGTCAACACATCAAATGAAGTGCACTTCTTTAAAGCATGAAAAAATATTATTAAACATGATGGTTTAAAGTTTTACAAAGTGCACTTTTTAAAAGTGTACGGAAGTGTGTTAAGAAATAAAGTATTACATTAGAAGTACAATTTTTAAAATATTTAATACAATTAAGCACATTTCTTTTTCACATGGGAATGTTTTTTTTATCAGGCAACCTGGTTCATTGCTTGAAATACAAAGGTTTATTTCTGAAGCAGAAAGCAGTTAGCATTTCTACGTTGTGCCTTTCTAAGTACTGACACGTCAACATTGGATGTAGAAACAGATTGGCTTATTTATTCAGGTTTCTGGCTTCACTGGGTTGAAAGTTTATATATATATATATATATATATATATATATATATGTATATAAATAACACAAGTGTTACTTTAATGTGTAAAGTTGCAATTTAGTACATTTAAAATATATTAAATGTAATATAGCATAACACACAACAGTTAAAATGATCAAATACCTCTATAGTATGTTAGCCAACACATCAAATGAAGTGCACTTCTTTAAAGCATGAAAAAATATTATTAAACATGATGGTTTAAAGTTTTACAAAGTGCACTTTTTAAAAGTGTACGGAAGTGTGTTAAGAAATAAAGTATTACATTAGAAGTACAATTTTTAAAATATTTAATACAATTAAGCACATTTCTTTTTCACATGGGAATGTTTTTTTTATCAGGCAACCTGGTTCATTGCTTGAAATGCAAAGGTTTATTTCTGAAGCAGAAAGTGTTTAGCAAGTATTGACACGTCAACATTGGATGTAGAAACAGATTGGCTTATTTATTCAGGTTTCTGGCTTCACTGGGTTGACATTTACCCTTCTTCCAGTGTGTGCAGAAATCTGACTCATATTTTTGCACTGCTTTTGCTTTGTGTTTCGTTCTTTTCAGGGGTATCAAATAAGGTCAACCATATAGCTGAGTAAATCTTTCCAGTGTGCTCTCTTTATCCGTCCACCTTTTTAACTACTGTCTCCCTCTCTCTCTGTCTCTCTGTAGTTTTCATACGGCTCCAGTTCTCCAGCTTTATCCAACCGCCAGCGTTTTCCCACTTTCTTCCGTACGCACCCGTCAGCAACTCTGCATAATCCCACACGTGTGCGGCTCTTCCAGAAGTGGGGATGGACAAAGATTGCCACCATCCAACAGACCACTGAAGTTTTTACCTCAGTCAGTCCTACATCCAAAACTTTCTCTCTTAATTATCTCACTCAGTATTCTGTAGTCATGGTGTGGTTTTCCTATTGCTACCAGGTTTTCAAGATTTTTTTTTGTGTGTGTTATGGTGCCAAATACGATTTTGGTTGATACTGCCCTCCTAGTGAAACCACAAATACAATTCACTGTGTGAATTGCATCTTACGACTTTAAATAGATACTTTAAGAAACTCAGAAACTGCAAAAATCCACATAAATTTACACAGAACGACTAAATTTGGTGTTTAGTGACTTGATGTGCTCAGAAGAAGGAAGTTGAATAGATAGGCCAGTGTTATTACTAAACACCAAAATATTCATTGACCACCCGAAGAACTAATAATGAGGGGAAAATGTAGTAAAATCCATCCAACCATGTGTTCTTCTTGGCTGTGTGTAGCACCTACAGCTCTGCATATCCTATCATTAAAATAGTTTTTACGGCACATACAGTACAGGCTTTTGCAAAGCCTTTGCATTTCACATGCAAAGAAGTCATAAACACACAGCAACAAAAAAAACGGCATAAAAATTGTAAAGGTCACTAATAGGATGGAAATGGAAAATGGTCATAAAAACTAAATTATGACTGTGCTTGTGCAAAAAAACTTTGATGAACGCTATAAGTAGACCTCAGGGGGAAATTAAATGTAAAAATAAAAAAATTATACGACCCCTTTAAAGGAAGTAATTTTCCAGTGGTTTACTGTGTGTCTTAAAAGTGTTAGCGAGCTTAGCTGCCCCTTTACTCTAAGGTTAATGCCTCAGAGTGAATGGCAAAGATCGTGGTTGATTATTCTCTTCTTAAGTGATGAAAGACTTTTTAAGTCATTTTTCTTCATGTTAGCTGCTAGGAATATTGACCAAGTCATAAATCTCTCATGCATCGATTCAATATTGAGCTAGTGTAATTCCGCTAGGCTAATGATCCCCCTCCATCTCTTCACCAGCTAATCTCTTTTTCTCATTTACTTTCATCCCAGTCCTTCTCTCCTGTTCACATCCTCTTTCTTTCTCCGTATTCCTCCATTCATTGATGTCGGGGTGTCTCGTTGGCACCTTTTCAAAAATATGCTGCCTCATTGCCTGCATAGGTGACTGCCTTCTATGGAACTACTTCATAAATGAGTGATTTGTAGAGCTCTACATAGGCATCATATATAGCACTCCTGAGTGAATATATCAGTCATGTAATGAAATGAATTTTTATATTTTATGGATGGTTATATATTAAATGAGTCATGAGTATATCTATTCATTTGTTTTTATGTAATATTTTATTTTAACTATTTAATAAAAAAAGTATATTATGTTTATATATATATCAATCTTTATCGGTGTTATTTTAGCGTAACTGAGAAATGTTGCTTTGGAAACTGAAATAAGATTAATTTAATGAAAATGTTTTTTTTTATGCATTTGGTGTTAGATTCAGTTTTAGTTAACGATAATAATAACCCTGATCTTTATATTATAGTTGACAACTTTTTTTTATTTTTAATTATACTTTATGATACTATTATATATTAAATGAATTATGAGCATTTTTATTATTATTTATATATTATAAAAAGTATAACTATTTTTGGATGATAATTTTGTTTCTGGAGTCCACTTATATCGCCTTAAAATGGTCACTTGGTTTTGGAACGGGGCTCATATCACCATCTTTTTTCCATCTACCTTTCTTTCTGGACTGTTTTCTTTTTTCTATTTCCTTTACTTTGTCATTTTTTTTTACTTTGGTCTGCGCTTTGACCATTCATCTCATGGCCTCCTTTTGTTCTTCTCTTTCATTCGCTCCTTGATCTTTTCATGTGCGCTCTTCCTGTCTGTCCTCCGCTCTCCACAAACATCACTCCTGTCCTGTCACTCCTGCTGTCTCACCGCTCTCTCTTTCTCTCTCTCCAGACTTTGGATGATCTGGAGGAGCGTGTGAAGGAGGCCGGCATCGAGATAAGCGTTAGACAGAGCTTCCTCACGGATCCCGCAGTGGCTGTCAAAAACCTGAAGGTGCTTTGATGAAAAATTCACCAGCCGCTCACTTCCTCTCTTCAGCCTGTGTTGGGTAGCTAGCAGGCAGAGCGCATGAAAGTCTTATGTGAAATAAATCAACACTCAGAAGAATCGGTCCCCTCTGTCAGATCAAGTGACGGTTTGGATACTATCTTGGTTGCTACTGACAGTTGTTATTGAATAGTTAGACAGCATTTTTTATTGTAAAATTATATTGCATGTAGATCTCATGAGACTGTCTTTTTAAATGGTTGGCTTACAATATTTTGGCATATGCCTAGTCTTCTATAATTCAGCCAATATATCAAATCTTAAATGTTTTTAAAGGTCATGTGCATGATTTTTTATTTTCAATGCTACAATAAATTTTCCTTTCCCATCTTATTATGCAGAGACAACTGTGAGGAATCCTTGAAAGTGTTTAGGAAAGCTTTTTGAAAATGGTCATTATTTTTGCAATTCCATTTGGTTACGCTAATGTTGCAGAAATTACACACTTCACCTTTAAAGCATGTCACAAACAGAGTAAATTAAAGCAATAAGTCACAAGAAGTGTTCTTACAAATGGTTAAATCACTGTAACCCACATACTCATGTGGCTTATTGCTTTTATATAGTAATGTTCATATTTATAATAAATAATTATCAGAATAAAAAATGATCCTAGCAAGTAATGTAGTTCATTATCTGTAGGCTGTTTGCAATCTGTAGGCTGTTGTAGGCAATACACAGAGCAGCATTTACTGCAGCTGATCAAATCATAATTTATATAATTATAATAAATATTATTTTAATATAATAAATGTTATATAGTAATATTTATATTTAATAATTTTACATATTCTTATCGAAAGCATATAATTTATTTTATTTGGAACTATGAGTTTCGTAATTTGTATTAGTATAAATTTAAAATAAATCAACAAATCGTGGTAAAGTCATTATAAATAATAAATCATTTGTTGTCAGTAGCTGTGTTTCCATTCATGCTGCGAATTTAATCTATGCAAAAATATCAGATTATTGTGCAAACAATGCATGCATAAAGCCTTGTGTCTTCAAGAGAGCAAAATCGTCACTTCCAGGGAAAATGGTCTTCTATAATTCAGCCAATATATCAAATCTTAAATGTTTTTAAAGGTCATGTGCATGATTTTTTATTTTCAATGCTACAATAAATTTTCCTTTCCCATCTTATTATGCAGAGACAACTGTGAGGAATCCTTGAAAGTGTTTAGGAAAGCTTTTTGAAAATGGTCATTATTTTTGCAATTCCATTTGGTTACGCTAATGTTGCAGAAATTACACACTTCACCTTTAAAGCATGTCACAAACAGAGTAAATTAAAGCAATAAGTCACAAGAAGTGTTCTTACAAATGGTTAAATCACTGTAACCCACATACTCATGTGGCTTATTGCTTTTATATAGTAATGTTCATATTTATAATAAATAATTATCAGAATAAAAAATGATCCTAGCAAGTAATGTAGTTCATTATCTGTAGGCTGTTTGCAATCTGTAGGCTGTTGTAGGCAATACACAGAGCAGCATTTACTGCAGCTGATCAAATCATAATTTATATAATTATAATAAATATTATTTTAATATAATAAATGTTATATAGTAATATTTATATTTAATAATTTTACATATTCTTATCGAAAGCATATAATTTATTTTATTTGGAACTATGAGTTTCGTAATTTGTATTAGTATAAATTTAAAATAAATCAACAAATCGTGGTAAAGTCATTATAAATAATAAATCATTTGTTGTCAGTAGCTGTGTTTCCATTCATGCTGCGAATTTAATCTATGCAAAAATATCAGATTATTGTGCAAACAATGCATGCATAAAGCCTTGTGTCTTCAAGAGAGCAAAATCGTCACTTCCAGGGAAAATGGTGAAAAAAAAAAAGGTAATAGATTCTCAAATATCTTTTATGCTGGTCACATCCACATATTTTTATGCTAATTTTGGGATTGTGCATAAAACATTGGATGTAAATCAGGCCTAGTGACACTTTACTACGTCACATTGTGTGATGTTTCTGTGTCTTGTTTTCTTTTCTCTAATACGTCTCCAGCGTCAAGATGCTAGAATCATAGTCGGCCTCTTTTACGAGACTGAAGCCAGAAAGGTGTTTTGTGAGGCAAGTGACAATTACAATTCTTTTTACAAGTACATCTGAGCTGGCAATTTATTTATATCAATTCAACTCTATTCAGTTCGATGTTTCTACTCGGCTTGCGTTAACTCACTGAGGCTTAACAGAGATTAAAATATTGAATAAGATTATTGCTTTAGCACAAACCTTCAAAACATGGTTTCATCTTTGGCAGGTCTTCAAAGAGAAACTCTACGGTAAGAAGTACGTATGGTTCCTCATCGGCTGGTACGCAGACAACTGGTTTAAGATCAAAGATCCAGCCATCAATTGCACAGTGGAGAACATGACGGAAGCTGTGGAAGGGCACGTCACCACTGAAATCGTAATGCTAAACCCGGAGACCGTCCGCGGTGCCTCCAACCTGGTGAGTGGATCTTAAAGGGATAGTTCACCCAAAAATGCCGTGTGGAGTATTTTTTATGATGGATTTATGCACTTTATTTTGCTTCAAAATCTTGACCACTATTCGCTGCCATTATAAAGCTTGGAAGAGCCAGGACATTCTTTAATATAACTCCGATTGTATTTGTCTGAAAGAAGAAAGTCATATACACCTAGTAATTTTCATTTTTGGGTGAACTATCCCTTTAAGACTAATTCATATTGACAATAGATTTTGGGTGAACTATCCCTTTAAGACTAATTCATATTGACAATAGATGATGCTTACGTAAAAACTGTCTATAACAATTTCACGATGGGATCATAAATCCTTCAAAAACCCTCCACAGACCTCCCAAGAGTTCCTGGCCCAGCTGATGTCACGTCTCGGGGGGAAGAACCCAGAAGAAACGGGTGGATTTCAGGAAGCTCCACTGGCGTATGATGCTGTATGGGCTCTTGCACTGGCCCTCAATAAAACGGTGGCCCCCCTGAGGGCCAAAGGCTGGACATTAGAGGACTTCAACTACAACAACAAGGAAATCACTGCTGAGATTTACCGAGCCCTCAACACCAGCTCGTTTGAAGGAGTGTCTGTGAGTTGATGAAAAATAGCTGTCAAATAACATTGAGATAAAATACTCCAGAAGATAGTTTCCCAGACTTGTCAGAGAGTCTTAAAATCGCAGAAACATCATCAGTCTCAGATTATCAAATATTTTTGATAACAATGAATCTTGAGTTCAAACACATTATAGGATGATTCAGCCTTTATTTTCCCTTGATTTTTGCCTTTTATATTTCTGTTTTTATGATGAGTCACAAATGGATTTCATAAATGATGATTTTGTATTGATGTAACATCTTCAACTATTTATATTTATTCATTTGTGTCTCGTAGGGTCATGTCGTGTTTGATGCTCAAGGTTCACGTATGGCCTGGACTCTCATTGAGCAACTGCAAGGTACAAACAAAACCAAAAAACCGATGTAGAAGATAATGATAATAACAGTATTTCCAAAGATTTTCCAAAGATTATGATTGTAACAAACATGACGCCATTTCATCCACACAATTCTGCTGTTATAAATAAAGTATTCTTATATTTAATATTCTTATACTTATTCACATATATTTTACATATATATTTTTTAAAAACTTTACTTGGATAATCAGAATAATATGAATCATTAAATAAAAGGCCAACTAAGAGTGCTATTGAATGCATAATTTGAGCTGTTGTGTAAATTACACTGTGAAGGAAAAAAATTATCCTATGATGTATGGATGTCCACTGTTGGACATTATTAGTAGACAAATTAAACTAGTGAGAGTGTGAAAAGTGACTATTTTAGAAATAACATTTCTAAAAGTCCACAGGGCCTAAACTGCCTGTAGTTAAAGAAAAGCCCATCTATTTCCTCCTCATTACTTCACTGTGTCTGTGGTCATGTTTTAGTGTTAAAGATATCTGAATGTCTCATATTTCCTGTTTAGTTTCAATGAATGGTCTGAACTGGTGAGAGAGACTAATTTTTGTGTTGTGAAAGTTTGTCTACATAGTACATCAATGATTTCCAAAGAGCAAAGTTTTTCTACAATATGTTGCCTTTCAGATTAACTTTGATCAATGCAGTTGGGCTTTTTTTTTTATCTTCGACCCATTGATGCAGCTATAAATCGACTACATTTTCAGATTTGTCGAGTCGGCCCTCTTTTGAAGCTTTTATTGCAGTGCTTAGTGCAAGCAAGTTTTCTTAATGTGACCTTTAGTTGACAC